GGTGGACAGAGAACACCTACCTGTCTAGAGTAGGAGGTGACTTGCACACTCCTGGGGTTTCTGCCCATCCTGCTCTCCCCCTGGCTTTCTGTCTCCGGAGTTCTGCTGAGTAGATTCACTCCCCCAGGAGCCCTAATTCTGGGAGTCATGGGGATGATAAACAGCAACAGGGCAGGCACTCTGGAAAATGCGATGTATGAGCGAAGCAGGGCGAGCTTTGCTCCGGCAGAGAAGATTGTGAACAGTAATCAAGGGCTGTACAATGAGCAGTGCTTTGTGTGCATGTGCAGTGCTTTCAGCAGTTTCCAGAGGGACACTTTATGGGTTTGAGAGGAGAAAGTACTCTGGAGTGAAGAACATTTGGAAATCATATTCAATTTGGTGAACTAATCACTGGCTGTGTTATCAAAGCAATCAATAAAAGCAGGCACCCTGAATGTTTCTATTGTGACATCTGTCAGCAAGTCCTGGCAGACATTTGATTTGTGAAAAATGCAGGCAGACACCTGTGTCAATCATGTCACAATTGAGAGAAGGCCTGGGCACTGGGGAAGTACATTTGTCAAAAGTGTCATGCAATTATTGATGAGGAGCCTCTAATATTCAAGAATGTTCTGCATCACCCAGACCTCTATAACTCTTCAAACTGTGGTAAAGAGCTCAAAGCTGATGTCCATGAGCTGAAAAGAGAGCTCTACTGCTTACTCTGCTATGACAAAATGGTTGTGCCTATATGTGGAGCATGTAGACCAATTGAGGGCAAGTGGTCAATGCTATGGGCAAGCAATGGCATGTGGAGCATTTTTGTCAGGAATGGACTTGCCAGTAATGATGGGACTCACCTGCCTTGTGGGCTGCAGTACCAGGGCTGGCCAGCGGGTGCTCCCAGCAATCAGAGACTCAACCCTGCAGCCAGCCAAACACCTGAAGCTGATTATGCAGGTGTATTTAAGGGATGGCCAGACCTGCAGTCTCTGCCTTGGTGTGTGTTTTTCCTGGGCCCTGTATCTTGTTACCTGCATTCCTGTTCCTGTATTCCTGTTCCTGTCCTGTCCCTGTCTCTGTCTGACTGATCTGTTGCTGACCCTGCCTGATCCGGACCTCTGCTGACTTCTCCTGTTTGATCCCTGGCTTGTGACCCCGACCATTCTCTGCCTGACCCCCTGTACCTACCTGCCCGTTAGTTGCTGTACCCGGCTCGTGACCTGACTACTCTCTGCCTGCTCCTCCTGTTCCTACCTGCCCGATTGTTATTGACCCGGCCTGCCTGACGACGCTTGCATTGTATGTATTAACTGTGGATGTTTGGTTTGGTTCGTTTGCACTGTGTTATGTTTTAGTATTGCACTGCGTTTATGTATTGTTAGTCTTTAATAAATTATATTGTTTATATCATATCTGAAGCCTGCGTTTCCCTGCATCAGTTCACATACCTCTGGTCACACCCGCATCCCTGACAATTTTGCTTGTGCAAAGTGTGAAAAGACTTTCATTGGCCATCGCCATCATGAGAGAAAGGGTATAGCTTACTGTAAGAATTACAATAGTCAGTTTTTTGGAAATGTCTGTTCTCATTGCAACACAGCAATTTGGGGAATTGTTGTCTCTGCTCTAACCAAGGCGTTGTGTGTGAACTGTTTTGCATTTTTTACTTGCAATACCAAGTTAACACTGACAAATGAGTTGGGGAGTTTGACATGAAGCCAGCCTGTAAGAAATAGTATGAGAAGTTTCCTCTGGAGATTAAGAAAAGGCTTAAGAAGCTCTCAGAAACCTTGGCAAGAAAAAAAGTACATCACCCCTGTGTGCATCCAAAGAAGGAAGCAACATACAATGTTCTGGTCAGAGGAGAATTGGTTATACATCCTACCTAAACTCAGACTTCTCTTCCTTTGTATAGCGAGATGAAAGGCCTAGGATTGCCTGGAAGAGATTACAAATGCCTAAATGATCATTGGGTATTAATCTTCTGAATCTTCACTTATATAATTTGGTTTATTTGTTATATTAAGTTAGAGATTGGGTTAATAACACATCATATTATACTATCCCAAATATCAAGTCTCATACAATACAATGGTCTCTTTTTGGGTCTTTTGCATACTCATTTTTTAGGACTATCCCTATATATATTGAAAATAGACTTTGATAAGCGTAGAAAGAGGTGAGAAAGTTACTAAATATACCAGGCTTTTTTGACCACTTATGCCATTGATTTCTTCACCGGTCTTTTCTTTTGGGGAGTCAAACTCAAGTTTTGCATAATTGGAAAGAAACAGAAATAGATAACCTATGGGATGTGTTACATCCTGTTGATTCTCTGTTACCAATCCCCACATTGCGTCAGAAGTATGGTATTTTGGAGTTAAGTTTTTTTACAATTTGCACAACTTTTTAATCCCTTTCAGTATTCTGTTTTGGGAAACCTATTTTGGTTAAAAGTTCCATCTTATTGAATAAGTCATCTGTGAAACATGGATTATCTTGGTTTTATCTTTTTTTTAGGGAAGAGAAGGGCTTGAATCCTCCATTAAATTCAGGATTTATAGCTATATGGGCCAGGTTCTTGAGTGTATCACCTAAAGAAGCTTGGTCTCACAACCAGTGTGGTTGGATACATACTGTAGTACTAAAGCGATAATAAGTTAGGAAGTAAGAGAGATCCAATTTAAAATTTTTTCATAGAGTAAACAAAGCATTTATTGCACTCCTCCGTCCTCAATGTAGTTATCTCCTTGTTCGAAATCTCACGTGGACAAACCCAGCTTGATTCTGCTATGGTAGAGATGCCATATAAAAGAGAAATTCTGGCACAATGTTATACAGTTTACTAATACTATATCAGAACCACCAAGTTGTTATGCCCACCTACAGTATGTATTTCTTGGCCATTTATTTTTACTAATATTTTATAAAATATATATTACAAATATAAAAGCTGTGTCTACTACATTATCCTTTGAAAGTGGAGGAGAGGCCACAGGCAGCACTTAGTAGATGGGAAATTATTTGTCTGTGGGGAGTAAAAAATAATTTTGACTCATTGTAGTCAACCTAATCCCCCTACATCAGAGGAATTTAAGGCGACTGTGTTTAGATTTGGATAACCAGAGAAATATGGAAGCAAGCATCAAGAATTTTTTTTTTGATACTTGGTCTTGTTATTTGGTGGCAGAGTTGCCCAATGTCCAGCTTAGGAAGATGCTGACCACATTTCAATACACTACATGGTATATTATTGAAACATTAAAGGGTACTTTGGGCTTGAAACAATGAAATAGTTTGTTTTAATAGCATTCCTAAATTAGCTTGGCAAGCTTTTTATTTTTCTTCTTTTTTTTACTATGCGACAAGTGTGAAACAGGCTTATTGGGATTGGAATCAGTTTATTGGTAACTGTTATAGTGTTATAGTTGTTTGTATTCTTTTAGCATCAAAATATTTTGTTAGGTTATCTTTTATACATACTCTTTTTTGGCAGAGATTTTGTTAGATGAAGTAGTTAACAAAATTATATTGCCTTAATATGAAAATTAAATACATTTTATATATATATATTAGAAAGAAAAAAAAATAGTAAGTCCACTTTAGTTCAGGTGTCTGTATCTACAGCAGTTCTGTGTATTTAGGAGATAGAAGCCCTGACACTTCTAACCTCTAACCCCTGACATTCGAACTTCTAATACACAGGGCTAGATGTAAATTTCATGAAGGTTGTGAAGCACTGGAAGGGAGGGAATGGGAAATTAAACATTTCTTTATGGACCTGTAGAAGATACAGTCATGGCCAAAAATATTGGCACCCCTGCATCTCTGTCAGTGCACCACTTCGCCCAGAAAATTGTTGCAATTACAAATGTTTAGGCATTATTATGTTTATTTCTTTTGTTTGTATTAGTATGACACAAAAAAAATGGAGAAACAAAAAGCCACATCTGAATCTGAAAATGGACTGGACAAAATTGTAAGAAATAATTGCATTCCAAGTTTTGTGATACTCCTGTAATTTGTAATTAAATTCACCTGTATCAATTAACACGTGTTGACATTATAGAAATCGCACCAGAAAGCAGTAAAAGATGGTCAAAAATGTACTCACCCTTTCTGTTGTGTGTCTCTGTGTTGCCACAAAGAAGAGAAAGAGCAAAAAAAATAGTTTGAGGACTTAAGAACAAAGATTGTGTTAAAGCATGGATATCTCAAGTTTACAAGTCCATCTCCAGAAATTTTAATGTTCCTATGTTCACTGTGCAACATTGTCAAGAAGTTTACAGCCAATGCACTGTAGCTAATCTCTCTGGACATGGATGTCAGAAAGAGAAAAAATAATCAAAGGATTGTTTGAATGGTGGCTAAAGAACCTTGATCAACTCACAGTACATACAAATTCAAGCTATACATCTGAATGAAAAGGAATGCTATGGTAGGAAAGGAGGACCCTATTACGACACGGAAACATAAAAAAGCCAGATTGGAGTTTGCCAAAGTTTACGTGAGGAAGCCAAGATGAATCAAAAATTACAGCTTTTTGATAAAACCCATCATTCTACTGTTTTCAGAAAAGCAATACGCCCTTTGCCCTTTCTGCTTTTTGCAGAAATACTGCTACAGGGCAGCAGGTGTGTGCAAAATCATTGTGTATGTATATGTGTATGCATGTGTATGGTGTGTGTGTATGTGTGTGTGTATATATATATATATATAATATATATATATATATATATATAGTGTGATTTTGCATTTCCGGGTAGCGGGCACCCTACCCACACCACCATTCGTGGCCTCGGCTGTCAATCACCAGGTCACGGCTGGTGATTACTTGCCGACACACGTGATCGCCAAGCATTACCAAACCTTTGAGAGAACTGTATGTAAACGATACAGTTCCTCTCCCCTGTCCACTCCACACACTGCTTTGTATACATACAAAGCAGTGTGCTTACAGTGGAAAGCACAGACTCATAGTAAAACACACACAGAACATAGTTAACCCTTTGATCGCCCCAAATGTTAACCCCTTCCTGCCCAGTGCCATTAGTACAGTGTCACTGCTTTTTATTAGCACTGATCACTGTATTGGTGTCACATGTCAGTGATACCAAGTCAGTACCCCCCCAGTGTCAGAATTAGAGATGAGCGAATTTTTGCAAAAATTTAATTCGGCGAATTCCAGAAGAAATTCGATTCGATGCAATTAATTTGCTACGAAGTTACACTTATAAAAAGGGTTTCTAGGCTTCAGAGAGCCTTTAAATTAGTGCAGAAATCACTGTACCTTTTAATTTAAATGCCCTTGGAGATTGAGGAAGTTGGGCCTTTTTAAAAATGAAGGAGAAGGATGAGAAGAAGGAGAAGGAGAAGGATGAGAAGTAAGGAGAAGGAGAAGGATGAGAAGAAGGAAGGATGAAAAGGAGGAGAAGGAGAAGGAGGAGAAGGAGAAGGAGAAGGATGAGAAGAAGGAGAAGGATGAGAAGAAGGAGAAGGATGAGAAGAAGGATGAGAAGAGGAGAAGGATGAGAAGAAGGACAGTTCTGTGACAGTTTTCTGTCTATTTCTGATCATTCACTTACATACAGCGGTTTTCACAAACCGCTGTATGGAGGGGAATGTCCCAGAACTGTCATAAAATAGTCATTTCTGACAGTTCTGGGACATTCACTCCATACAGCGGTTTGAAACATTGTATCTATTTGTTTCCATAAATGACATTCTGCAGATACACTTAGAGGAGCTCTGCAGATACACTTTTTGCGGCTTGGAATTATTCTTATTTTCATCCTAAGTCTTCTTCTTCTTCTTCTTCTTCTTCTTCATCCTCATCCTCTTCTTCTTCTTCTGAGGGTGAGGATGAAAAAGAAGAAGAAAAGTAGGATGAAAATAAGATTAATTCCAATCCGCAAAAGTGTATCTGCAGAGCTCCTCTAATGTGTATCAGCAAGCTCCTCTAAGTGTATCTGCAGCCAATAGAGGAACTCTGCACATACACTTTTTGCGGCCTTGGAAATATTCTTATTTTCATCCTACTTCTGCCTTCTTCTTCTTCTTCTTCATCCTCATCCCTCATCCTCTTCTTCTTCTTCTGAGGATAAGTGTCCAAGAAGAAGAATAGTGGAAGCCTCATAGGATGAAAAATAAAATAAATTCCAAGCCGGCAAAAAGTGTTATCTGCAGAGCTCCTCTAAGTTATCAGCAGCTCCTCTAATTGTATCTGCAGAATAGAGGAAACCCTGCAATACACTTTCGTGCCGCTTTGACATTATTCTTATTGTCATCCTACTTCTTCTTCTTCATTCTTCATCCTCATCCTCTTCTTCTTCTTGAGGATGTGAGCTGGAAGAAGAAGAAGAAGTAGATGAAAATAAGATTAAAGTTCCAACCGGCAAAAAAGTGTATCTGCAAATCGCTCTATGTGTAAAATCACAGAGCTCCTCTAAGTGGTTTCATGCAAGGTATAGAGAACTCTGCACATACAAGCCGCTTGGAATTATGCTTAAATTTCATCCTTACTTGTTCTTCTTCTTCATCCTCATGTATTGTCTTCTTCTGAATGAAGAAAAGAAGTAGATGAAAATAAGATTAAATCCAAGCCAGTGGATGCAATACACTTTAGAGCACCATGTCTCAAAAAAGCTATAACATAGAGACTTTGCAGATACACTTTTTGCCGGGCTTGATATATATGGACTTATTTTCAGTATTGCTTCATCCTCATCCTCATCCTCAGAAGAAGAGAACAGGATGAGGATGAAGAAGAAGAAGAAGAAGTGGAAGCATGAAAATAAAAATAATTCCAATCCAGTAGGCAAAAAGTGATGTGCGATTTCCTGTATTTGCAATAATTAGAGAGGTGAGCTCTGCTGATACACTTAGAGGAGCTCTGCAATACACTTTTTGCCGGCTTGGAATGTTAATCTTATTTTCATCCTACTTCTTCTTCTTCTTCATCCTCAGAAGAAGAAGAAGAGGATGAGGATGAGATGAAAAAAGAAAGAAAAGTAGGATGAAAATAATGATTTCCAAGCCGGCAAAAAGTGTATGTGCAGAGTTCCTCTAAGTGTATCAGCAGAGCTCCTCTAAGTGTATCTGCAGAATAGAGGAACTCTGCACATACACTTTTTGCCGGCTTCACCTCTAATTATTCTATGTTTTCATCCTACTTCTTCTTCTTACTTCTTCTTCTTCATCCCATCCTCATCCAGTTCTTCTTCTGAGGATGAGGATGAAGAAGAAGAAGTAGAATGAAAATAAGATTAATTCCAAGGCCGGCAAAAAGTGTATCTGAGAGCTCCTCTAAGTGTATCAGCAGAGCTCCTCAAAGTGTATCTGCAGAATAGAGGAACTCTGCACATACACTTTTGCCGCTTGGAATTATTCTTATTTTAATCCTACTTTCTTCTTCTTCTTCTTCTTCATCCTCATCCTCCACCCCTATTCTTCTTCTGAGGATGAGGATGAAGAAGAAGAAGTAGATGAAAATAAATTAATTCCAAGCCGGCAAAAAGTTAATATCTGCAGAGCTCCTCTAAAACTGTATAGCAGAGCACCTCTAATGTATTAACTGCAGAATTGGAACTCTGCACCATACAGCTTTTTGCCGGCTTGGAACTTATATAACTTATTTTCATCCTACTTCTTCTTCTTTCTTCTTCTTCTTCATCCTCATCCTCATCCTCTTTTTCTTCTGAGGATGAGGATAAATGAACTGCTAAGAAGAAGAAGAAGAAGTAGGATGAAAATAAGATATGGTATTCCAAGCCGGCAAAAAGTTATCTGCAGAGCTCCTCTAAGTGTATCTGCAGAGCTCCTCTAAGTGTAATATAGAATAGAGGAACTCTGCACATACACTTTTTGCCGGCTTGGAATTATTCTTATTTTCATCCTACTTCTTCTTTCTTCATCCTCATCCTTGCTTCTTACTTCTGAGGATGGATGAAGAAGAAGAAGAAGAAGTAGGATGAAAATAAGATTAATTCCAAGCCGGCAAAAAGTGTATCTGTCAAGCTCCAGCTAAGTGTATCTGCAGAGGAATTGCACATACACTTTTTGCCGGCTTGGAATTATTCTATTTTCCATCCCACTTACTTCTGTCTTCATCCTCATCCTCATCCTTATTCTTCTTCTTCTGAGGATGAGGATGAGGATGAAGAAGAAGAAGAAGAAGAAGAAGTAGGATGAAATATAAGAATTCCAAAATGGCAAAAAGTGTATGTGCAGAGTTCCTCTATTTCTGACAGTTCTCTGACAGCTTCTTCACATGTACAGCGGTTGAAACATCTGTATCCTAAATGGAAACTAATAGATACAATAAAAAACCGCTGTACATGTGTTCCTTCTGTCAGAGAACTGTCCGAAATAGCGGAGCTCTAGTATTGGGATTTTTAGCAAAGATGTAGCAGAATACATTTTGCCCTAAATTTATGATGAAATTTAGATTTTTAAAAAATGTTTTTATTGGACATGTTTAATGTCAAAAACTTTGTTTTTTTTTTTCTCAAAATGGTCGTCTTTTTGTTTATAGCGCAAAAAAAATGCACAGACGATGAAATACCACCAAAAGAAAACTCTATTTGTGGGGAAAAAAGATGTACATTTAATTTTTATGCAATTGTCAGCTAACCACCTCCCGCCCGCCATATAGTAATATGGTGGGTGCAAGGTAGTTCTCTCGTTCTGGGAGGACGTCATATGACGTCCTCACATTCTCACTGCGCATGCACGGTGATCGGCGGTGCGCTGTGTCCCTAGGACACAGCGGATCACGGAAAGAGCCGAAGATGTCGGCTCGATCATGTGATCAGCTGTGTCCAATCACAGCTGATCACATGTAAACAGGGAAATGCCGGTTATCGGCATTTCTCTCCTCTCGAGCTGTCATGCTGACAGAGGAAAGGAGAGCCGGTAATCGGCTTTCCGCGGAGGGGACATGTACACTGATCATCAGGGCACTGATGATCAGTGTGCCCTGATGATCAGTGTAGCCCCAGCAGTGCCACCTGTCAGTGTCCATCAGTGCCTTATGTCAGTGCTCATCAGTGCAGTTCGTGCCAGTGCCCATCAGTGCCACATCAGTGCCACATATCAGTGCCTACCAGTGCACCTCAATGCCACATATCAGTGCCCATCTGAGCTGCCTTTCAGTGTCACCCATCAGTGCCAGTCAGTGCCACCTATCAATGCCAATCAGTGCCGCCTAGCAGTGCCTGTCAGTGCCGCCTATCAGTGCCAGTCAGTGCTGCCTATCAGTGCCATATATCAGTGCCATGTATCAGTGCTGCCTTTCAGTGCCCATCAGTGATGCCTGTCAATGCCCATCAGTGCCACCTACCAGTGCCTCCTCATCAGTGCCCATCAGTGCCACCTATCAGTGTCCAACAGTGCAGCCTATCAGTGCCCATCAGTGCAGCCTCATTAGCGCACATCAGTGAAGGAGAAAAATTACTTATTTACAAAATTTTATGACAAAAACTAAGAAAAAACTTTTTTTTTACATTTTCAGTGGTTTTTGGTTTATTTAAGAAAAAATAAAAAACCCAGAGGTGATTAAATACCACCAAAATAAAGCTCTATTTGTCACAAAAAAATGATAAAAAATGTCATATGGGTACAGTGTTGCATGACTGCACAATTGTCATTCAAAGTGCGACAGCGCTAAAAGCTGGAAATTGGCCTGGGCAGGAAGGGGGTATAAGTGTCCTGTAGGCTAGTGGTTAAAGTTGGGCAGTGCCATAACGCAAAAAATGGTCTGGTCAGGAAGGGGAGTAAATCCTCTGGAGAATACAGTCCCTACCATCATGGCAGAGGTGCACAGATGTTTTGGAGTGGCTTAAGCTGCTTCAGGCACTGGATGCCTTACTGTGTGCATGACATTATGAAATCTGAAGACTAGCAAAGAATTCTGGGGTACAATGTAGGGCCCTGTGTCAGAATGTTGGGTCTCTGTCAGAGATCATGGGTCTTATAATAGGACAATGACCCAAAGCACATGTCAAAAAGCACCCAGATATGGTTTAAGACAAAGCGCTGGAGAGTACTGAACTGGACAGCAATGAGTCCAGATCTCAATCCCATAGAGCACCTGTGGAGAGTTCTCAGAACAGCAGGTGGGAAGAGAAACCCTTTTAATCTGAGAGACCTGGAGCAGTTGGCGAAAGAAGAGTGCTCCATAATTCCAATAGAGAGGTGTAAGAATCTCATTGATGGTTAGAGGAAGTGACTGATTTCAGTTATTTTTTCCAAGGGGTGTGCTACCAAATATTAAATTGAGGGTGCAAATAATTTTGTTCAATCCATTTTTGGAGTTTTGCGTGGAATGTGTCAGCTTTGGCCTTTTTGTTTCTCTACTTTTTTTGTCATACCAATATAAACATTTTGGAATTGCAACAATTTTCTGGGTGGAGTGGTGCATTATCTGATGGAAATGCAGGGGTGCAAGCACTACAAGATCCAGACACTGCTTTACCTCCAGTGCATCTAAATTGAACTAGAACGTCTCATTTAGAACCCCTTCCACCTCTAATCAGCTATCTGTTACCAAGCCCCCACCTGACCCATTGTTCCAGTCCTCTACCATTGATGCACACCATCTCAAAACCAGTGCAGTTGAGAGCAAACCTGGTTATCTTGCCCCCAAGCTTGGCACCAGATCATTGCAATGAAATATCCACATTTGTTTTGAAAATTACTATATAAACCAAATTTTCTTAATTAAACAACTCTATGCACTAAATAGGACCGTCTATCTGTTCTGACAAAAGAATCTTAGTGAACTGAAAACGAGTGAGTAAAAATTATTAACAGCATAAACTACTTATTGAATTTGTGCTTTTGAGCTTCAGTGATCACTAATTACTCATTAAAACTAAATAACAGGGATGTCATATTAATGTTGTGTTTATTGTGCCTTAGATTTAATGATCTTTTCTTCATTCCCTCTGGCTCAAACTGTAAACAAACCAATGTAACTGTGGTGAAATTGCTAACCCAAATATTTTAATGTGAGCCTTTTTAATATTGCAATGTAGTTGGATATATAACATATTTTTTGGTGTATTATGTCACTCTGTGAGATTCTGTAAGTAAGCAGTTATGAGGCATTCCCACATTCCCTTTTTAACCGCTTGCCATCTGCCCTATAGCAGAAGTACTGCTACAGGGCAGACCAGCTGTGCAAAATAATTTTTATATTGTATATAAATTATATATGTATATATTATTATATATGTATATTATATTTTTATATATATATATATATATATATATATATATATATATAAATAAATGATTTGCATTTTTGGGTAGGCTATTGGCTCTGTTGGCGGCTGGGGATGTGTTGTAAACAACACAGGTCTCTCTCCTGTCAGCATGGACATGCTGCTTTGTATCTCTGTGCACAGCAGAGAAGAGATCCAAAGCAGCATGTTTCCTTAGTAAAACGGCACACAATGTAAAACACACACAGCACACTATTAACCCTTTTATTTACCCAGTGTAATTAGTACAGTGTCAGTGCTTTTTATCACACTGATCACTGTATTAGTGTCACTGGGGATGTCAGTGGCAGTTAGTCAGTTAACCCAGCCAGTGTCAGAATGCCAGCCACAGCCCCGCTATAAGTCAATGATCGCTGCCATTACTAGTATAAAAAACATAAATAAAAATTCCAGTATATACAGTGGATATAAAAAGCCTACACACCCTGTTAAAATATAAAGTTTCTGTGATGTAAAAAAAACCCAAAGATAAATCATTTCAGAACTTTTTTCACCTTTTTAATGTGACCAATAAACTGTACAACTCAAAACAAACTGAAATCTTTTAAGAGGGGGGAAGTAAACGTAAAAAAACTAAAATATTGTGGTTGCATAAGTGTGCACACCCTTAAACTAATACTTTGCTGAAGCACCTTTTGATTTTATTACAGCACTCAGCAGTCTTTTTGGGTATGAGTCTATCAGCATGGGACATCTTGACTTGGCAATATTTGCCCACTCTTCCTTGCAAAAACACTACAAATACCGCCATTTGTAGATGCTATAACTTTCACGTAAACCAATTAATATACAATTATTGGGATTTTTGTTGACATGTAGCAGAATGCATTTTGGCCTAAATTTATGAAGACATTTTGATTTTTTTTTTTTTAATTGGATATGTTTTATAGCAAAAAGTCAAAAATATTTCTTTTTTTTTTTTTTTTCAAAATTGTCGGTCTTTTTTTATTTATAGCACAAAAAATGAAAAGTGTAGAAGTGATCAAATACCACCAAAAGAAAGCTCTATTTATGGGGAAAAAATTACATAAATTTAATTTATGTACAGCATTGCATGACTGTGAAATTGTCAGTTAAACGCAGCGCCATATCACAAAAAAAAAATGGCCTGGTCAGGAAAGGGTAAATCCTCTGGAGGGCAAGTGGTTAATGTCCAGTATTTTATACAATTGCTATATATACAATTGTAATTATATATAATAGTACAACATATGGAGTAGGTCCGTGTCAATAATGAGGTCTGACCCCCAAACTGAGTGGGGAGGACAGGAAGTTGTTCTGAACACAGTGCCACTTTCACGTCTCCAAAATTCTCAAGTTGGCAACAGAAAAATCAGAATAAGATCTTGTGTCTGTATTGGTGAGGCTGGGAAACTTCCACATTTTGTATAACTTACATAAAAACAACGTAGTCAGCTCAAGGCAAAGGCCAGCCCATTATAAATCCTATAAAACTCCATTAGCAGAATGTCATTAACCCCATTAGCAGTATGTTTCTTAAGGCTGGCCATACATTATACAATTTTCTTGAGATTTTTGCTTTAGATTTACCAAAAACCATATAATAGGAGGTCAAACCTAAACAACACTTTCAATTTTATCCAATTAGGTAGGCCCTTGCACTACACAGTTGAAGGTAAATCTAAAGGAAATTGGGCAGAAATTGGACAGAAAATTGTAAGAAAATTGAATAGTGTATGGCCAGCCTTAGTCAGAATCAGCCAATAGCTTATGTAAGTGTCCATTATGACAAAGTCCTCTATTGGAATCATGCTGTAAAATGCACTGGTTTGTGACTCCACAATACACATCTGTATCTGCTGTTTGAACTTCACATAGGACTGGTTTGCATACATACAATATCCAAAATGAATGCTGTGCTAAAATTGTATTCTTAAGATGCAGCTTCAATAATTTAAAAAAAATACAAAAATAAAAATAACAGATACTACCATGTATGTACTATAGTGTGCAGCAGGTGAATTGGTCACATTAAATCTCCTAGGCAATTTATAGTATTTACCAAATCAAAATTTATTTCCATTAAATGTTGGTTGTCAAATTATAAAACCATGTAATCAGAAAACAAGTGTCTGCTAAAATATATTACAACACTTCAGCACCTTTAGCTCTTTTGATGGTGTGGGGGTTGGCTCAGTGACAAATCTAGTGGGTCAGCATTAAAACAATATGTTAAAATAGTTAAAGGTACTATTTAAATTCTCTATTTAGAAATTTTAAAATCCTTGCCTGTATATATTATAACATGCAGTGGCAGCTACCGTGTGTAAGAGTTAAATGTGGAGTTAAACCTTGTTACAATACTGTCTGGGTGTGGCAGCGAGTGTCACAGACATTTCTTAACCACTTCAACACTGGGTGCTTTAACCCTCTTCCTGCCCAGGCCAATTTTCAGCTGTCAGTGCTGTTGCGCTTTGAATGACAATTGCACAGTCATGCAACACTGCACCCAATTTAAATTTATCATTATCATTTTTGAGACATGGCTTTCTTTTGGTGGTTATTTCATCACCACTGGGTTTTTTCATATTTTGCTAAACAAAAAAAGTCAGAACAGTTTGAAAAAAATACCATTCTCTTAGTTTCTGTTATAAAGAATTGCAAATAAGTACATTTTCTTCTTCATTGATGGGCACTGATATGCTGTATTGATGGCACTGATGAGGCTGCACCGATGAGGCAGCACAAATGGGCACTGAGGGCCACCGATGGGCGACACTGATAAGCTGCACTGATGGCCACTGATGACGAGGCACTAATGATTCTGCACTGATAAGGTGGCACTGATAGGTGTCACTGATGGACACTGCTATGCTGCACTGATGGACATGGATTGGCACTGAAGGGGCTGCACTGATATTCTGCACTGATGGGCACTGATAGGCTGCACTGATAATCAGGACACTGATAAGTACTTTGATAATCAATGTAAACGTCACCTGTCACAGGAAAGCTGGTTATCAGGCTTGCTTTCCTTAGCGCTATGACAGAGCTGAGGAAAGGAAATGCCGATAACTGGTACTTGTTTACATGTGATCAGCTGTGATTTGACA